TAAAAAAGATTGCAGACACAGGAGATCCGTAGAGTTTTGGAATAATGAATAATTAAGAAAAATATACTTGGAGGTCCTGTATTTTTTTTATTTCTCTAGCCTGGGGTTTTATATTATATGTAAATATACATTTGGAATACATTCTCATGTATTAACTGGGATTTTCCTAAAAGCAGAGCCTGAGATAGGACTTTTGTGTAGATAGTTTATTTGGGAGCTTTTCCCAGGCTGTAGAAGTGAGGGATTGAGGGAAAAAATAAGCCAATGTTAGGGTTATGTTATCAAGGAAGGTGTTGTAGCACTGGGGGCTCAATTTCCCCTTGATCACCTGAGAAGCATATCCAGTGCCTCCCTTAATTGTCTGCCTGAAGGGTAAGAAGTAGGAGCAGTTATTGACTGGCTCCTGTTCCCCACTCATTGATTTGCCCCTGGGGATATTAACTCACTTCTGAGCTACACTTGTGTGTGGACTGAGCAAGTTTTCCTAGTGTCAGAAAAGCTCTAGGGCAGTCAGTGTGAATGAGTCTGAGCTTTCACTGAATTGTTGAACTCTGTGAAATCAGAGTTGGGCTGAGGGTCAATCCTATTTCCAACCCTGTGTTCCCAGACCTGTGTGTTCTAGCTCTTGGGGCATTCTAGCTAATGGGGACAATGCTGGCCATCACAATGACAATTAAATTTCAACACGAGTTTTGAAAGGCACATTCAAATGATAGCAGATACATAATGCATCCTGTAGAACAGAATCCCAACCCCCCAGATATCCCTAAGAGAGCACCTTAGTTGCCTCCCGACGATATGGTAATGTCAACGATCCCATATTCATGGCTCATTAATGAACTTCTCTGTTCTCAGAACACCTGTGTTCTGAGATGAGGTGAGAAAAAGCCCATGTTGGAAGAGCAGGCATTTTGTAAAACCTCTCATAGTGTTGTCGTGGAAAACCCTACAATTAGGACCCATTTTATTATATGTGCTGACTTGATCTCTGAAGCCGAGAGGGCCTCACGTGACATGACAAGCTCCCCTCCTTTCCCCACTCCCACACATAAGGTCCCCTGGCTAAACAACTCTGCTTTTCAAGGAAACCAGGCACAGTTTCTGCTTTGTCTCTCAGTAATGGGTTTCGGTTCTCTGCCAGCTCGTGGGATTATTCAAACAAGCTAGTCACATCCTCAAGCAGGAACCAGAGATCATCCTATCCTTTCGATACTACAAAGCCTGCTCCCTACCCCCTGGTTGTTCACTCTGTTCCTGAGTGAAACTCCTCTGTGGCCCTATGTGACATGTGATGTCCTTCTCCCCCAGGCTGTGAGTGTATGTGATTAATAATCTGCTGTCTATCTCATCCATCCTGCATCAGGTATCGTGAATTCAGCCATCTCCATAACATAAGGCCAGAATCCCTCCCTCACCAAACAGGTGAATAGGAGGTGATTAAAACTACTGTTGACAGAAGCACTATAGGCAGTAAAAGCAAGCATACATCAGAAGTAGGTGTTAATTCTGGAAAGGATAAATTGCTGCCCTCTTCAGTATAGAAGAGTTCCAAGTGGGTAGCCCTTCCCTTGAAAGATGGTATCATATTTAGAGTTCAGCATTGCTCTCTGCTCCTTGAAGCTCATGCATTTAGCAGTGGCAGTGGCTATATCAGCTTTGGTAAGAACATAGCCTGCATCCTTTGATCATGGACACAGCATTCACAGGTTCACTGAGGAAGCAGTAGAGTGGTGGTAGAGAGAGGCAGGCTGATAACTACTGGGTGCATCATGCTGTGCTCCTGGTTGAGAATACTCCTTGCAGTGGATGATCTCTGCTGGATGTTAATGTGAGAGATAAAGCTCTATATACTTTGTGCTCACTCCCATAAGTCCCTCCACATCTTTGTCTCTGATATTTCAAATTTCTTCCTTCCAGGCCCTTGACCAACCAACCAAGCCATTTGTCACTGCCCAAGAGTCTATATATATTCACACCTCCACACAAAGGAGTTGGCCAAGTGTACTGTTCAAAACTCTGCCCAGTGGAGACTTTCCCCTCACCACTGTCCTTTAGCAGCACTCTTGAATGTAGCTGAGTGAAATAAAAGTCCATTTTCAGCTTACTCCAACATATTAAGCTGACTTATATGTCAACCCAAGACTTTTCCTCCTCTGACAGCTGGTCACACCCAACAGGTCAAAGGTGTAAATTGAGAGAGATGTATCAGTATAACAGAGGTGACCTGTTTCTGTAACTTAGTGGTACCTTCTGGACATGCTCCGACCTGATCCCAAATGTACTATTTTTGTTATAAGATCCTGGAGACCTAAAACATCCATCCATAGGCCCACCATCACCCATAGTCATAATGCTTGAAGTGGAATCAGAGCTCAAAGATGCCACCAGTAAGCTGGCAGTGGGACTACTCCCACTTGCAGATGGTGATCTTCAAGGCT